ACTTTTCTCGAGTCATAGACTTCTAATTAATTACGACATTCGAAATGAGTCTAATATTGATATGCATATCATTACTTTATCAAAATCCAATTATTCGACCCCAAATATATAATATATTAATATTTATTTCACCTTAATCCCTCACTTTCAAAATAATATAATAATTTATTTTTATTTTTTTTTAAATTTCGGAATGTTACAAAAACATTATCTCCTACACCATTAGAGACATTTTTCGACGACTCAACTGGTGTCCAGTACGCCGGATCTCCATCAACGACAGCGGCGAATCCGGGATCCAAGTTCAGCTAGGGCGGATTGACCATTAACTGACGACCGTTGACAGTCGATGATCGTAATAATTCGATCGTTTATTAAAATTTGGTTACATAATATTAAAAATTATTCAATATATATGTAAATGAAATAAAACATCAAAATCGTATTCATATGAAAATATACTTTGATACAACCCAAAATAGTAAAAAAAATATACGATACAACCTTACTCAATTACTCTGTAACTGTAAACATAGACAACTGTATTCTACGGGGTCTCATGATTTGAAAACGTTGCAATATTGCCTCATTCTCAAGTTTTTTAAAAATAACTTTCTCCGCGTAAACCACCAAATTGTCATTCAACCAGTCACCTCCCATTTTGTTGCGCAAATCACTCTTGATTAGATTCATAGCATAAAATATCCTTTCAACACTTGCAGTTGCCACAAGTAATATCAAAGCCAAGGTGAGCAGCCTATAAACCAATGGAAAATAACAGGAACTTCTAGTTTCAATCAACTTCTGAGCTACACAGGATATACTATTGAGATTAAAGAAAGCTTCGTCCATTCTCACAAGCAAAAGAAACTTATCAAGCTGAGGTCTAAGTAATAAAAGTTCTTCACTATTGAAATCCAAATTATAGAACTGAACAAGACGCAACAATTTATCCTTATCAAAAGCTGCAAATGAATCTCTTAGACTTAAACATTAAATGCAAGTAAAGAGCTCAGTAGTTGTTTCTGGAAATCGATCATTCAACTCTTGTAAGATTGAGTCTATCACATGACAATACAAATCAACATAAAAGCGATGAAAATAAGTCACCTGCTGAGTTACACGCCTAGATCGACCTTTCACTACTACAATATCCTCCATATTAGGCACTAAAATATGTCTATCAACACAAAACTCAATCATCCTACTAAACAAAGTATCCCAACCATTCTCTCTCAAGTTCTACAATGCACACTTACACAAATTCAATAACATCGTAGCATTCTGAATATTCTGATCCTTTTTCTATAAGGTTTGTGAAAGGTCGTCTGTAATTGCAAGAATTTCAAACATAAAATGAAGACTGAACACAAACTCAAAATCTTGCATATTGTTCATCTATCTTAAGGCCGAAGATTTTTGATCTGAATGTTCGCCATATTCTGATATATTCTCAAGAACATCTATAATAGAATTAAATATATTAATAAAATGAGTAACTGTCAATAAATGTGAGCACCACCTAGTATCACCTGGGCGTGTCAAACTCATTTCTTGAAACTGACCACTTCCACCAGTAAGTTCCCCAGCATTAAGCTTCTACAGAATATTAGCTTGATAACTTGTTTAAAGAGCATCTACACACTTACATGATGCACCAACCAAATTCACAATAATAGCAAGTACGTTCAAAAAATCACCACGTGCCACAGATACAATTGCAAACTGAAGCTGGTGAGCGAAGCAATGAACATACATAGCATGTAGGTTCTATCTAAGAATTAAAGCTTTCAACCCATTTAACTCACCTAGCATATTACTTGCTCCATCATAGCCTTGACCCGTCAGACTAGATATACTCAACCCATGTGTAGAAAACATTGCATCAATGGCATCCTTCAGTGATTGGGCATAAGTATCAATGACATGGGACATGCCCAAAAAACGTTCCTTCACTCGCCCACTTTTATCAACAAATCGTAAAACAACTGTCATTTGTTCTTTCACAGAATTATCACGAGTCTCATCAACTAAAATTGAAAACAAAGAATCACCAATTTCATTGATAATAGCCCTTATCGTCTCTACGGCACAACAATTAACCAAATCCTTTTGGATGGTTGGTGAAGTCATTTGGTCATTTCCATGAGCATTACTAAATAATACTTCTTTAATTTCCTTACAACGAGCTGCATACCAGTTCAATAACTCAAATAGATTTCCTCTATCAAGAGACTCTTTCGATTCATCATGACCACGAAATGATAATCATTGGATCAAGAGAAGTCTAGTACAGTCTAGCACCGCAGTGAACCTGGTCCTATAACTTTGTTGTTGACTACTACTTTGGCTAGAAATAACGTAAGAAATATTTTGCTTTTGATTCATCAAGTTGGTACACTTTGCAAAAGCTTGATTATGAGAACTATCAAAGAGACCGACATGATCTTTCAATATCTTTTTGTGCTTTCAATCCCTAAAGCCGGTCTTAGTAAATATATGTCCACCCTCTTGACCCCCTCTATCGGGTTTGAACAGGTAGCAATGCAAAAAATACGCCGCATCCTTTTCTATATTGTATTCCAAACAATGAAATTCGAAGAACCATTCTTTCCAAAAAATCTATTATCATTCCCCATCGATCTTCTTGGAAAATTATATTTATATGGTTGACAATGACCTTTCTCCAAGTATGTCATCCTAACAACATCTTTGATATTAGGATCATATGATTCGATAGGGGGCGTATCCCTGGATCAGATACAAGATCATCCACATTAAATTGAGCTCGAGACTTTTTTGTGTTATTCAATAACTCTTGTGCTCGACTAGAATCAGTGGCGGGACTAGATGCACAACTAGAAGTAGAAGAATTGGGTATGGACTTTTGTTTTGGTTGAAAAAATCGTTCTATAATCTGCAAAATGTCATCCTAAACGTAAATTCCCAAATCAATAATCATTCCTAATATCCTATTTCCTCATCAAATCATTAATTACTCATTATAAATCACAATTCGCAAATACAATTTCGTAAACATAAATTCCCAAATCAATAATCATAACTCGTCATGATAAAACGTAAATTACTTATCATAATTCATAAATCACAATTCGCAAACATAAATTCCCAAATGAATAAATAATAACATAATTAATATTAAATTTTTCAATGCTCAACAATCAATATCAACAACTCCAGGATAGAACAAAATCAAAACAAAATAGGCAGACTCTGAGTAGCAGGGGCAAAACAAAATCGAAAAAAATCAAAATAGCCAAACAATTGAAACAAAATAGAATAACACGTCAACACCAAAACCCAAAAATAATAATAATAATAAAGAGGGAAAGAAAGAGTTACCGGTCTGAAAGTCTGATAGAGTTCACTGTCCGGTTGGCGGTTCGGGCGTTTGGCAGTCAACAGTCCGCCGCAGGCGCGGAGTGGGCAGTAGGCAAGCAACGAATGCTTTGATGGAGTTTGTTGTTTATTCGATCTGCTCGAAGTCTGGAGCTAGTCAGCTAGGTTGTGTGGTCTGTGGTGTGAATTTGGAGTAAGAAGAAGTGAGGTTGAGGAAAAGGGTTTGGCAATTTGAGGGAATTTCACAATTCTTGTTGGATAAATTCATTTGGGCCAAATGAAATGGGTAACGGGTTCAAGGCCATATGTTGGATAAATTCATTTGGGCTAAATAAATTAAATAATAATAGGCCCAAAATTTAATATTTATTGAAGCCCAAACCCAAATAAAAAAAATAAAAAAAATGGGCGATGCCTTCATCTTCCTTCTTCCTTCTTCTCCAATGGCCGCTGCACGCTGACCAGTGACCAGGCGGTTCTGCAAGACTGCAACTCCTTACCCGATGGCTTTGCAGATTTCGACGGAGCCAACACGCGCGGTCGCGCCCCCTCGCCGGGTGCTGGCTCCGCACCTGATCACCGGCTCCAAATATCGCCGAAGATGTTGAAAAGGGAGTTCAGGCGAATCGTTCAGTTGGTTCTCCTGAACCGATACCTGGGTCATGGAGAGATAATGTGGTGGCTCACAATTTGACATAAATGCCGCGTTTCACTTTGCGGTTGAAGGAGCCGGTCGTTTTTGTCCTCTTATTGAATCAAGAAAGTTAGAGGAGTTGAACGGTGCAGATGAAGTTTCGGATGACGTGGCTTGATCTTTGGCGTTAATAAGTGGGAAAGAATCTGTAAAGGTCAAAATTCCTGAGATAGTCAACATTGCTGATTATCTATTCAGAGGAGCTTCAGAGCCCGAGATTAAATCCTAGGTTTGGCCAACCTCGACCCTCGATCTTGCATTACATAGACCCGTCGAATTCAAATTACTCAGCCCTCGATCTTGCATCACATGAGGCTCACTGAATTCAAATCAGGGGCTGAGGTCAAGCCACCTCAGCCCCTGAAGCCAATCTTAGGATTTAATTCTAGTAGTTCTAGAATTTTTCTGATCTATTTTACTACTTCTGATCGACTACACGTGGCATGAGAATGATGTCCCCCTCTCACAATGCATGCGAACCCCACGTGAATTTAAAAATATCGAAATGTAATTCCCACCCCTATTGTGAGTAGTAGATAAAAAAAAAAAAAAATTAATACATATAACATTGTCCATACAAATATACAACCTTCTATTTTCATTCATTCTTAATAGAGAATATACCATTTTAAATTTGTAGTTCTGCTATAAGAACAAACTCAATGACAGATTTTATACATAGATACACCTGACAAATTTCTATTAGCAATCAAACAAAAAACAGCCAAATCAGTCGATCAAAAACTGACCTATCATTGAACCTGTTCAAGCAGCATTATTCTTACATTTGAATGGCTTGACCAAAATGCTAAATATTATTTGTCTTACTTTTTAATCATATCATATAACTTACATAACATATACTCGGTGGCATATTTTGTAAACTCGACGAGGTAAGATTTAAAGAGATTAAACGTTTCTGTATACGTTAAAATGAAAAACGCCCTTGCAGCATGATTGGGAGTAAATTGAACTTTCGAAATAGCAAGACAAAAGGAGAACATTCCCCATGGTTCTTCGAATACAACACAGAATGTTCAACATCATAACCGGTGGACGAGAACTCAAGCCAATACCATACCAACTCCTTATCGACATATCTCTTATCTAGAAGGGACGAGCAAACAAACGAGCCCCACAATTTCAAAAACAGTAACTTCTCTAAATTTCAAATGCGTCCATTCCATGAAAAGGGGAAGAACTTGAAGCTTTGCAAAGTGTTGTTCCTTCTCCTTCTACACCATTTAGTTACAAATTCAACTCTTCGCCCTTCTCACGAGCAATAGATGCAGAGAGAATCCCAAGATCGCGGTTCAAGAATGTCAATGCACTTTCGCATTCGGAGATTATTCTCATTACAGAAGATGGTTCACCAGCCACAGTTTCAGAAGACCCAACTGCAACTGCAGCGTGTGAATCTCTAAGGTTCCGTAAGTTCCCTAAAAACTGCCGTGGCACAAGAGAAAGGAATGGTCATCTATCGGTTTTCCAATTATCTTCTAAAAGACAGTTCATGAAAACACGTGCTTAACAGAAGAAATTGTAGTCTTTGGCTAAGCAAATTATTTCACAAACATATATTTGTAAACAAAAGTTGTAGATACTTCGATTTTGAACTATAAAAGAAAATTTCATAAGTTGAAGTCAGTAATTACATGAACTTTCAAGACTCCAACTGCATTTTCTATATTAAATAGCTAATGCACAAGGAACTAGCTTTGTGATACCTTCAAAAGCATCTTATATGCTTCTAGTAATCTATTTGCCGCTGGTCCAAAGCCATGTAGCTGCGGTACCTCCATCATGTGAGTCCAAGGTCGGATTTCCTGCATATGGAACATTATTTACAGAGAATATTGAGGGGATTAATATAGCAGATTCATTTCTCAAGACGTGTACAAGATTGGGATAACAATTGCAAGACTGTTGGTTCAAGTAGAAAAGATAGCTGCTTTCCTTGAGTTCTAAAAGTAGTTTTATACCGAGGCTCTAAATGCCAACCCATCGACTATCCAAAACAGAATTACAAGTTATTTCCAAAGAGTAATAATACTTCAGTATCTTAAAGCCTAAGAAAGAAGCTTTTCACGCACAAAGAAAAAATAACAATGGCAAGAGAAAGGTCTAGCTCAAGTGGTAAGAGTGAAGCCTTCCCAGATTACTAGGTTTAAGCCTTATTTTGAGAGAAGGGTTGAAATCCTTTAATCCCTTTTAGAGAATAAAAGGAAAGAAAAATGAAAAAATAGCACAAGAAAGCATTTCCTCGTATCATCAAGTATGGAGGAACTACATTTTTATTTGGACCTAACAGACAAGAATACTCAATTATCAAAATTTATTCTATATGCGCTGGAGAACAGCAGCAAAGTTCAATTTAACAATTGTGACAACAAACCTTGGTGTAAATTGCATTGAAGGATCTTGCAGTTTCGAGAAAAGATTCCAGATGTTCCCTCAATTTTGCTTCAACTTCCGTGTAATTCTCGTCAGGATTGTAGGGATGCTAGATGCCAAAAGATAATAGTCAATTCCAGTTGATCAAGAAAAGCAACTAGGTGAGCTTGCATAATAAGTAAAGCAAACGATTGGAGGAAATAACGTAAAAAGCCAAGAATTTTTTAGGTAACCTTTGAAGCTAGATCATCAACCATTTCTTGAAGACTCAGAAGTCTGTTTGATTGATCTGAAAGTTGCTTTTCCAAATCAGATACGTCCGGCCTACAAGTAAACTTCGATAAAGTGAATAAAGAGTTACTATGCCCCTGTTTAGGCCCTATTTCCATGATAAAGAGACATTCAAGAAATTGAGCTGAACAATGGAAAAAATTACCTGATTTGATTAATTATGTTGCTAATAAGTAATAATCTATGCTCGTTGATCAAGGGAAATATCTATCCTATATTCTATGCCCACCAAAATTATATAAAGATTTAAGGATAGGAAAATATTCAACAGTATGTGGCTACCACAGTTCTCTAGCAAAACAAATATCAATAGGCTCTAAATTTGAGGATGCACTTTTTTCTTTTTTCATCTCAAGTACAGCTATTTCAAGTCTCCTCGTACAACATAAAGGTAAATAAACTTTTTCAAAGAATAGAAAGAGCCTCAAGAAGAG